GGCGGTAGGGGAGACCTTGTCAGGGCTGGCAGTCTGTTTGGTAAGACCACCACTTTACCTTCTCTTTCCCTAGACATCTGCCCACTTGGCTACACATAGGGGTACACTCAGACACACGTTTGCTCCGTGGGGTCCTCGCCAAACTGAGTCAGGACTTCCTGGCCAATAGCAACCCAAGTGCACCCTGGTTCCTGGAGCGGTTGGGGTTGGCCCAGAGTGACCAAGGACAGGGGCTCCCCACATGATTACACCTTGAAACACCTGGGCGCTTTAAGCACATAGCTCCTGGGCCCACCCCCAGAAACCAGCAGTCTGAGTTGAGGCCCAGGCATCACTATTTTTTCAAAACTCCCCTGTTGATTCTTTTGTGAAACCAGGGTTGAGAACCACAGCCCTTTGGAAACCAGGCAGAATGAACTCCCCATTCTGCGACAACGTTCCACCAGCTCCCCACCAGCACGTTCTCCATCCCACATCTGAGTGGCAGTGTTAGCCTCCTGTTCTCATAGTCTGCTTTCTTCTCCCTCCTCGGGAGGCATTGCTCTCACGCCTGTCACAAATCTCTGGGCCCTAGGGTGGGGTCGCCCATCCCCACAACCCCCAATGTGTGGACTGTGAGGCAGAACGCAGCCTGTGTAACCGAGACCCTCACACAGCCAGGCCCTCCCCACTAGGGCACCTTTGAAAAGATGACAGGCAGTGAAGCAGAGAGCAGGGATTTATTTTCAATGGAGAACTCAGTGTGTTTGACAAACTGGAGCCTTTCCCTGGATGTGGGTCTGAAAGACAAGCTCGTGGATAACTTGTGTTCACATCCCAAGATGGTGTGATGGGGTCGCCGCTGCTGAGCAATTTCACTCTCTGAAATTAGTTTTTAATTTCCAGCAGCAATCTAATTAGTCCTAACCAAAGCCTGTTCTTTTCTCTGCCTATTTGCTGTGCCTTCAGGGTCAGTAGCTGGCAGCTGACACCCACTCTATCTGCAGCTCCCCAATTACCATCAAGGCCGGGCTAACATGCCGTAGATGCCGCCACCCACAGACAGGAGACTGACAGGGAAGTGCTCCTGCCCCACGGCCTGGCCACAAGCAGCCTAGCCACCCTTCTCATTGAACACCGTGTTAGGTCCAAACTCTACACTGTACAATAAGCCTCGTCAGGATTCCTAGAGAAGTTGACTTGGGATGAACTAGGGACTGCCAAAAGGTGTCCCTCTTTGTGCAAGACAGCAGGCAGGTAGAGCAGAGTAGGTCTCATGCTTGCAGAGGTTAATTACCGTGTCAACAGTTGTCATTTATTTAGGGTCTCTGCTGAGTGTTTTATATGCTTGTTCTCATCTATTCCCCAGAACATCATTTGACATATGAAAAAGACTTGAGGTGCAGATTAAGTAACTTGCTCAAGGTCACTCAGAGAGTAAGTGGTAGAGCCAGAAGTCACAGCAACCGTGTCCGGCTGCAGAACCCAGGCCCTGAACCACCGCGGTGGGCTCTCTGTCAAGTTGGCCGAGTTGTAGCCACATGTCACGTATGTGGCCTAAAATGCAGGAAGGATTTGTTCAACAGCAGGGCGCCCTGGCACCGCAACTGAGGGATGAGGGGCAGCCGCTCACGCTGTCCACCTCTGACTTCCCTGCTGTAGCGTAGCTTCCAAAGAGCCATTTACCTCCCCAGGGGTTTTACCACTGTAAGGAAACTGTTGCCTGGCACGACCCTCTGTAACAGGTCAGCAAACTGTCACCCATCAGTGTGGTCCGTGAATCATATAAATCAGTAGAAAAAAATCAAAAAAATAATAATATTTCCTGATACATGAAGATTATATGGTATCAGTTGCATGTCCAAAATGAAGTCTTACTGAAACTGAGCCATGCTTTCTTGCTTCCATGCCATCCTGTCCATGGGTGCTGTGGTGCTGCAGCGGCAGAGCTGAGACCAGCTGCAGCAGACACCCCATGGTGTGCAAACCCTAAGATGTTTACTATTTGGCCTTTTACAGAAAAGGCTTGCCGACCACTACCAGAAGGAAAGATGAGATAACGAAGCCAGATTGACAGTGGGGTCAAGAGAGTTTGCCCTGCCTTTTTTGTATTGGGGGGTTTGTTTTGTTTTAGTAATCCCCTGGAGAAATCATCTTATGTCCGGGTGTAGAGCAGGCCACCCCCTTCCCACTTCCTAAGTCCTCGGAAGCAAGGCAGCTTAGACAAGACTCATTCTGAGTCCCTGTCACCCTACAGCTAATCTCGGCCTGGGTCTCTGCAGCTTCAGGACCCTGTGTCCTCCCCTTTAATACATTCCTCATCAAAGTCTATGCGAAGTAATATTTGAAAAAACATGTACTTAATTTTATTTCTCCAGGATACTTTAATATCAAACTGTGGTAAACTGGCGATTTGGAAATGAAGAGAGCTGACATCCAGACATTTGCAATGATAAAGCTTTGTAAACCTCATACTCACATAGTGCTGTCACATATGTTCTTATTGAATCACGCTTTAACTTCACAGGAATATCAGATAGCCCTGCTCATTTCCTCCTCTCTCTCCAGAGTCAAGTCCTTGAGGCTTTCTCCCCCTTGACTCTGCATTCCACTTCTTGGACTTCTCGGCTCCCCCTTAGGGTATCAGTTGTAGCATGTTGCAGCTGGGAAATTTCCTTGTCCAATTTTTATTTTCAAAGAATTGCATTCTTAATGTGGAAATAAATCACCAAGGTTCATCAAGTTGTTTGTACTTTTTTAAGACAGGAGTGGTGGGGGAGTACAGCTCAGTTCTGATTTGATGAGCTGCTGGCAGTGAAATGCAATCCAGTGCCACGTAGAGCTTCGTCCCCACCTATGGGATCCTATTAAGGAAACAGGACTTGCAGAGAGTCTCACTGATACTAGGCTGTGGGACCCAGGATGGGGCACTGGAGAGCAGGTGGGAAAGCAAAATGCTGTGAGGCCATAGTAGGCTGACTTCTGCCAAAAACCCTGGAATGGATTCTGAGCTCTCAGTTCTGGAAGTCAAGGCTGCAGGGATAGAGGCCCAGGAGAGAGAAGCCAGAACGGCTTTGACTGGAGGCGGGAGAGGCGGGGTCAAAGGACTGAAACTTTATTTTGATATTTTCTGGATGAAAGTCCTCTAAGTAAATCTGTAGACTGCGTGCCTGCCCTCCCACGTGCGTGGGAGAACTCACGGGGGTAGCGGAATGCTTAGTGTGTGTGGCCCAGCACACTTTGTCAACACGCTTGCACATCTGTTACCTCCTGGGGGCCTCACAGAGTCCCTGTGTTATGAGGGACTAGAGCAAGGATGATTGCTCTTCTTTAGGTACAAAAATAGAAACCCAGAGAAGTCAAGCGGTTTGCCGGAAGCAATACAGACCACTAACGGCAATGACCTCGACGGGGTTTCCGGTTCTGGGTTCTGGTGTTTCCCACTCCCACAGCGGCTCTGATGAAAGGATGGCCTTTGCAGACAGGCACAGATGGTTCAGTGTCAGCTTTGACCCTGAATAGCCGGGTGGCTTGGGCTAGTTACGAAATTCTTAATTTCTTCATTTGTAGACATACGGATAGCACATGTATCGCAGACTCGAGGTGCTGATGAGCACAGCGCATTCCACAACACGGATGTTCGATAACGTTTTCCTTTGGTTCCCTTAATATAAAGTCTTTATGCCTCTGTGATGCATATATGCATGCCTATACGTACATACTTGTGTACTTTAACCTACATCTTCCGTAAGAGATTGAGGAAACAAAAACTCTGTTCCTTGAGGTATAGTTAGATCCCCTAAGTAGTTAACAGCAGGGCCAGAACTAGAACTAAGCAGGCCTCGTGACACCCGAGCCCAGGCCACCCTTTACTGGGGACCTCACCTGCTGCAGGGGTCCTGTGGGTTGGAGTGACTGCTGGATCCAAGGAATCTGCACTGAGCAGATGCGGGTGTAGATTTCTGTAGCCTTCGAATGAAGGCGCACTGACCCTCTAGCCTGGTTCTCTCGCTGTCAGCTGGCCCACATGTGAACTGTACCTTTCAGATGCACCCCGTACCTGTCAAATGCCTGATCACGTGAAGATCTGGATATCCAAGCTGGGGCTTGGGGCTGCTGTCTCTCCTTTATTTGGCAAGTCGAACAGCACTATGTGTGATGTTCTAACTGATAGAACATGGCTATCAGTTGTTCTGGTAGCCTGAACAATGGCTGAACTGATAGAATTGAAATCCCTACTGCTGCACCCCACAAAGCACCCATTTTCTGGAATTATAACACCATCCCCTAAAACTGCTGGTATGACCTCCTGGAATCCCTTGGTAACTGACTGGGGAGCTTTGGGGGATGATGAAATATGTGCGTGGTGCTCACTGTATCTCGCAGCTCTGCCGACCGGCTCTGCGAGCTCCCTGGGCGTAGTGGGTGGAAGTGGACCCAGGGGAGTATGGCCAGCAGGTGTCGGCAGACCCTATCACAGAAGGACCAGGGGACCCTTGGATCCCCTGTGGGTGTGACAGGGAAGCCGAGTTCGGCCCTCCCCTCATTCCTGTTCTACTGAGTGTGAAGCAGTGTCTTCCTTCAGCTCTTTTAGTTGACCCCCCAATACTCCATCCGAAATTTTTTCCCTGTATTGTCACCTGCTCGCTTTGGCACTCTGCCCAATTTTCCTAGACTAGAGGTACCTTCAAGGGCAGGAACAATTGAAAATAGTTACTGATTCAGTAGATAAAAAGACACAGTATAGAACATGAAGCCTGCACACCAAGAAATAGGATAAAATAGCTAAATATGGTAGTTCAAAAGACGGAGGAATTATGGTCTCCCTCAAGATTAATATTACCAACTCAAAAAACAGGAAGACTTGAGGAAGTTTCATCCCCGGAGAAGGGGTGCTATCAGTTCACTGCATAAGCTGCCTCCGTGGGCGCAGCTCCCTGGGCTGGGCTGGCCTGGGCGGGGCGGGTGGAGCTGGTGATCATGCCGGACGCTCACACGCCTTTCCCTCTGTCACCCCGCAGGTGTTAACAGAACTGAAATCCGACAACCAGAGGCTGAAAGATGAAAATGGTGCCCTCATCAGAGTCATCAGCAAACTGTCCAAATAGACGAGGCTCCAGGCTTGGGGGGGAAAGGCAGCATTTGCTGCCCCGAGCCCTCTTTTCCAGTCATTGCCGTCCAGCCAAAAGCAGTGACTGTTTTGGCGGAAGGACACGCCTCTCTGACCCTCCTCCAGTCACCTCCTCTGCACTGTACATGTTCTCTGCACTCCCGCTCTTCCTGCACACCCACCCCCGGGTCTTATGACTGGTTTAATTGAAGCACGATTGTGATCACTCGAGCCAGTCAGGCCATCTGGAGAAGGCCTTGGGGAGTACACGGAACTGGGCTGTGGACCCACCTTCCTGCTGCTCAGCTAGTTGTCCACAGTGGATTTGGTCTGAACATGTACGAACTCTGCCCACACCAGTGTCCCACAGCCCTGCACACGGCCCCACTGCCCTCTGGTAGAGGCGAGTCTTACGGTAGCCACTCCAGGATCCTGTCTGGGACGCCAAGAGAAACAGCAGGATGTTGGCATAGGCAGCAGACAGCCTGCAGAGCTGTATTTCCATTCGATTCCAAGGTGACAGTAACTGCGCTGAGGGTCTCTGCGCGTCTCCCCCCTCAGGAACCGACTCCTCTGACTCTTCACTGGTGTTGCCAATGTCCCTGGCGAGCCTTCACCCCTTCACCTCCCTCATGCCCAGCTGTCTCCCCAGGGCTCAGGTGACCCTGGCTTCATTTGTTCCTTTCTTTTCTATTCTTTTATTTTCCTTTCTCCCTCCCCCCAACTCACCTTACCCTGTGGTGTGAAAGGTAGAAGAGGGCACCTGAGCCCAGCTCTCGGGCTGTCACAGACCCACTTCTCCAGGGATAGCACCAGCATTCTCCCGGGGGTGCAGACCGTCGTCTGGGTGTCACCCCCGATTCTCATCTCCCGCTTGTTCACCTCCTTGCCTGGGCTCCCAGCGCCCCGTCCCGCCTCACCTCCCCATGACCTTGTTTCCTCTTTCCCTGGCCCCTGCTCCTGGGAAGGAGCCCCTGCAGTGCGGCGGGAGGTGGGGGAGGCGGATGGATAGGAGGCCGCCTAGGGGTCGGATGCAGGCTGAAAGACGCATGTGCTGTAAATAGAGTATCTGAGGACACCTGCAGCCTTGTGACAAAGAAGATGGAAGAAAATGACAGCCCATCGTGCTGTGAGAATGGTGGTGAATTTGATTGTTTCTGGTAGCTAGATTGAGGGGACAGACATTTGTTTTCTTAGAAGCCAACAGGAGAAATAACTTCTTAATAGAGGTTAAAGGGACAAGACACTTTGAACCCATCGATGAGAGTCACGGGACCCTAGTGGCAGACCCAGAGTCACTTGGTCCAGCTTTCTGTTATTCTGTCACAGGGTTCTCACCCCCTGCCCCTCTCTGCTGCCACAGCTCCTGCCCGCGGTCAGGGAGCCTCTGGCGGCTGTGCCTTCATTATTCAGAATGAGTGGCTCTAATGACCAGGAAGTCTTTGCTCCTGTGAGCTGGGGTCTGTGGGTCCCCCCATTGCCCGCTGCCCCCTTCCATGTGACACCTTTCAGGCACACGCTGTCGGTGATCGCCCCTAGTCGCCCAGCTGATGGCACCTGGTCCTTTAGTCCCTCATCCTGTCAGTCTTGGCTATCCTCCACTGGGCAAAAACAGCCTTTCAAAATACCAGATATTTTCATATCAGACCTAAATTAAACCGTTTGTTTCTATGATGACCCAGCATTGATACTTAAAGTATTTGCTTTTTATAGGCATTTTTATCTGTTGGTTGGCTTATTTTGAGTGTGCAGGTCGTTTAAATTCTCGTTTTAGGGTTGCTGGAGATACTCAGTGCTTAGAGTGATCCATTATCTAACATGTACTACCCCTGTCCATTTTTCTCTTTCTTTCCAGAAAATGATACTGTAATTCTCCACGGCTCTCTGAAATACCCCATGATCTTTTAACCAGAAGCTATAATTCAAAATCCCAATTCCAGAATAGGAAATATGTCTCCTATTCTGGCAAAACCCCACTTTAAGAGTATACAAAATTTTCTCTTCCATTTCCTACCATTTTCCAAGAGAAGCTACTTCTGATAAGGATTCTGTCTCATCGTGGGTGCGTGTAAGCCCATTTCTCAGGGAGTGCTAAGGTAGAGTGAGGCCTGTCCTACCTTCCACCACAAGCATGTCCTTCATCCTAGGGCGAGAGGAAATCAGCACCAGGTGCCAACCGGTCCATTCTCCTGACACGTCCTGGATGTTGGGAAAGGCAGCTGGGTGCTACCCCTTTCTCAGGAAAAGGAAACTGGATTATTAGGAAAAAATCTTGACCCTCTTCCATTAGACAGACCAGGTAAAAGGGTTTCAGAGAGGCCCCTCAGATCTGTCTATGCCTTTCACAGGTGTGGGACAGGCTCTCAGAACTCGTGGGTTGGTCTTGTACACCTGCTGCTGCACACAGCCCTTCTAGATTAAAGATGCCTTTTCTTGACAAAGTTTTCCTTGTGATGAAAGTCTTACAAGCTGTTGAGTCTCAGGAATACTAGATTCTATGGCCAGGAACTCATAAACGTGTAAACCATCCTAGGTAATTTCAGGCATTCTCTTGTGCAATCAAGTTTCTTAGACAGGTAGACTCTGAATTCTGGTCCCTTTCAGAGAATAAAATACCCTTTCCTCACAGCTGTATATGTGCGTGGTGGTTGCAGACCTGGTGGCCAGCAGTGTGCTCTGAGTGCTGGCATTGGCAGGACTCCCCTGCGCTGTGGGCCCACGGTAGCCACGGCCTCCGGTCCTCACCTGCTAGTTCCAATATCCAGGAGCGCCCCATGTATCAGGCCGCACGCAAGGCTCAGGTCTGGCCAGGAATGTGGGGCTCAGCCTGATCACTTTAGCATCTTTCCATGAAATATCAGAATAGGGATTAGAAAGCTCTCAGGACAGCTTTATATCCTATTCTCTTTAATTTTATATTTTTCGAAACCAAGCCGCAGCTTTGGTGGAGTGACTGGGCTGTCTCAGAGAGTCTCTGGCTGAAGTTGGCTGCCAGGCCTGTTTGTCTTTCAGGGGCTGCTTGGCCTTTTCCAGTCTGCTCACGGGCATACTGACCCCAAGGCCCAGGCCTCGTCACTAGTGCAGCTCAGGGTGTTGACCCCAAAGAAACTAAACAGCAGACGTGCCTTGGGCCTGTTTGGTGCACCAAATCCTCCCCGGGCAGGCTCGTCTGATATTTCCGGAATCCCCCGATCTTTTTCTATCCAGCTGCACAATGTGTTCTGGGCTTTCCCTGATTTCTGTCCCATCTCCCACTCCATGTTTGAGATGAAGACGCATTTATAGCTCTCTGAAGCCACTGGAGAGGGAGGCTTCAGATCTCCTATTTGGATCCTTTCACCCATCTCCCCTTCCCTAAACAGAAAGTGCTTATCTGACAGGGCTACTGAGGAAGGAAGGAAGGAAGGAAGGAAGGAAGGAAGGAAGGAAGGAAAGAGGCTGAAACTCCACTTTTTAGCCCGTAAATCCCACACAAATATGTGTGAGCTACTGTTTCTCTACCAGGGGCTTTTAATTAAGCCACAGATGAGAGAAGAAGCTCTGAAAGCTGTGCACTTGGGTCACATCTCTGTATTTCTGGCCCTGGTGCGGACAGACTCTCAGCCACACAGACACTCTCCTCTCAGAGAAGGGCCAGTGTTGTGGTCCAGGCCACTGGCTCAGGAGAAGGTCCTGACCCCGCTGGCAGTCGCTCTGAGGTGGGCATGAGGTGAGCAGAAGCATGGAGATAAGAGTACTACTATTTAAAGCATTGCCAGTTACTCAGCTTCCAGGCAGCTTTGCCCCTCAAAGGGGAAGCCCTAAAGGAAGGGGAACTACTAGTCTCACCCCACTGCATGAGCCACTGGTTCCATTGGAGCCTAATGATGGTGTTACCCTACATGGGCCCTGGCGGCCTTCTCACTTAGGCATCCTCGGGGCCATTGTTTATGCCAGCAGCGCAGTCACCAATTCCAGTCTGCCTGACCAAATGCAGGCCCAACTGTAACTACAGATCTTGGTCCCCAAACTGACTTTGAAGGCAGGTTTTGACCCCTAAAGGATGAGTTCTCTGAACCCATTGCAAAGCAGCTTTGAAGGAAGAATACTGCAGCATAAAAGGATAAGACCCTGGGAGTCAGAGCATCTGGGTTCTAGGCCAACTCTTCTTATTAGCCATGTGACCTTGGGGAAGTCACCTTCCCTGACTGAAATGAAGCTGGTCTCGATAATCCTTAAGATCCCTTCAAGGCTTAAAATGCTTTGGTTTATTTATTCCTAGGAAGATAGAACATTTCTTTAACTCAGAATTTTTGTTCTTTCTAACCTCAAAAGCTCTTGTTTTCTTCTGGATGCGGACTATTTAACATCAGCATGTCAAGGTTGGCTTCTCATCCTTGTTGGAAAGTGAATTTAATACTGAGGGTAATTGAATGGTGTTGGAATTGCTTTTCCTCCTAATGGCTTGGTAAGAATATTAAAACCTGCAGAGGTGGAAATTGGAGCTCATGGGGAAATGGGTAGAAAGCAATTTGTTGCAGGCAGCCTTTGGACAAATTGTTTTAATAGGAAATAGAGCTGCTGCTTCATAGATTTCCTCCACTGCCTTCCCTTGGCCTTCTCAAGTGCGGTCTACGTGGCTTCTTAACATCCAAACGGCAGACACTGCATTTCTGCTTAGCACCGGTTGGCTCGTAGTCTTGAACTCTGCCTCATAGCAGAAAGAGATCTTCCATGATAAAAATGTTCACTTTTAGTTTCATTGAGCCCCTCCTTCAGATTCTGGACTCTCAGAAGTGGGACGTTCTGGTGCTGTTCAAGATGGTCCTTCCTTTAAGCAGGTCTGCAGAGGAGACTGCCGTGCAGGAACAGCTTGCAGACCCTCAGGCCTCACAGCGGCTGGCGTAGGTCAGCACTCGGCTCTCAAGGAGTCGTGCAGGACCAGGTGTGAGTGAACGTAAGGCAGAGACCCTGCAAGTGGAGGCACCTGTGTGCTGGGCTGGGGAAGAAGGCAGCTGGTCGGGGCTTTGAACGTAGAGCTGCGTGAGGCTGCGGGCACTGGCAGAAGACAGCAGACGCAGAGCTTCCTCAGGAAAATGAGTGCCATCTGCTGTGCCTGCATCCCTCAGCCTCCAGCCAGGCAGTGATTTTCATCAGTTTCCCTAATGGGTATTGACACCGCTCAAGAGCAGTAGACCGTATCAAGGACAGCTATCGATTGCTTGTGTTCTGATTAGTTTGGAAAATAGATCAACTTCATTGCAGCCCAGGAACTGTCATTGTCACAGCTAGTAGGGAATGAGGTGGTCTCTGGGGGCTGAGAAAAAACGGAGGCTCTTGACCAGCCAGCCACCAACTGCATGGAAAGAAGACGCCTTCACCCCTTTGAGAGCTGTGGTCAAAACTGAACCGAAGCTTGGCTTGCAACCCAGTATCCTCATGGATGTGCTGATGGCACCTAAAAGGGTGAGCAGTTTGGGGGTCACTCTTCTAGCCTGTGTACATGTGCACACACGGTCATTAGCATGAAGCTTACAGAATGAGGTCTGGCGTATTCTTGATTAGTGAACTTTACCCAAGTGTAATTTTTTTATTAATTCATTATCTTCTGCTTTCCCCTCTCCCCTTCCAGTCCCCCAGAGTACATCCCTCGGGCCATTTGCCCCAGTCCATCTACTTATCATTTTGGACTGTGTATCTGCCAGAGTGGTATTTTCTGTTATTTCTCCTCTGAATTTTTCCCTAATAATTCCAATGAACTTCTTGTTGGGTGGCCGCTTAAGGTGGCACCAGGACGTTCTCACGTCCTTCCCACACCGCTCGCCCGTCCTCTCTCTCTCATCTCCCTCCATGTTCTTTATCCCTTGCTTTTCTCACTTGGAGCTGGTGGCGCTTTGGAGAGGAGGTTTTCCATCAGTCAGCAGACATTCTGGAGAAGTTCCACGTAGCAGCAACCGTCACACCATGTCCTCCACTCCACAGCTCCCTGGCTGTGCTCAGAGCCCCTCGGAGGCAAGGTCTGAATGGTGGGCCTGCACAACTTCTCTGGAGCCTGGCCAGGGGACCATGGGGGCCGTGGTAGTTTATTCAGTCTGTGTCCTGAGAGGTTTGACTGTTCCCAGCTAGAGACAAGAGAGTGTGTCTTCTCCAAAAAACCCGACCAGCGTGTCAGCGCATCTGGGGAGCAGCTCAGCCCGTTGCTGCCTTGCAGGAGAAGATTCCGGAAAGGCGGGCCGACTGTGGGTGCCTCGTCAAGGCTTTCTCGCAAAGCCAGACACGAGGGTGAGTGCTGACCCTGCCCACGGGACAGGCACGGCCCGCACTCTCACCCAGCCTCTCCGACTTGACTCTTCTCTCCCACGCTACTGAAGCCCGGGGCGCAGCCCAGTGGGGCATCTGGTCAAGAGTCCAGCTGATGACAGGGTGGAGGGAGGACATGAGGGGCCCAGGCTCAGAGCCCCAGGGGGTAGGCTGGGGGGGCGGCGGTCCTAATGCCCCACCTCTCGCCAGCATCCTCTGAGCCCATGAAAGGTTGGGCCTGCCACCAGCCGACACCCCAGTGCCAGCGTCTCCCCCGAGGGGAGGAACCGCCACCTCTTCTCACTCAGGGGGCTCGGGCTCAGGCTTTGGCCTTATAGTTTTCCTCCCTCCCTTCTTCTTCTTTGACCTTGATCGGACAGGTGAGGAGAGCTTGTAAGAACCACTGGTGTCTGCCCGCCTCTGCCGTTTGAGGGGCAGCATTTGATCTTTGTCCACCCCACCCTTCACTCTCGACCTCACTTCCACCACCGGTAGCACTGGTTTTTAGCTGAGTTGTATGGATTGACTTCTATCCACTGTACATACACCTGGGGTGGGAAGGGGCTGCTTAGGGAGGGGAGCCAGATTCGCTTTGTGAACTGAATGTATTTTTATGCAATTTTGAGTGGCCTTTCAAACCTGAGATGAATGATTTTGTTTTACTGGTTGCTGTTATATAGTCTTATTAAGTATACTGTGTTTGAAAGTTTGGGAGTAATAATATTCACATCTATATGATGCTTGTAAACACAACCGTATTTATAAACAAGTAAATAAAACAGTGTTTTAACTTTGTGACTGTGTCCGCATTTCAGGAAATGGAATTTACAGAACCTCACATCGGGGGCAGCCTATTCCAATTTTAAGTCATACCGTTGGGGGCCTCTCCCAGTCCCAAGGACAGCCACAAGTGAGTCACCATCACTGAGAGCAGGGTCTCTGGAGTCAGGCCGAGGAAAGCCTGGATGGAGGTCTGAAAGAACTATGAGAAATCAAGGTTTCCAGGTTCAGTGTGGTTAAGGAGTATGGTTATTTCTCTGAAGATGGAGAGCAGAGCTCAGTGACGGGGTGTCGCCCGCATCCAGGCAAGCACGAATGCCCGTAGTGCGTGGGCGGCAGAGGCCTAGCAGTGGGGCTCGCCTCAGGCTCCTCGAGGCCTCCGGGCACTCACCCTTGGCCCTCTGCTCATACACAGCAGGCCTTCCGAGGCCATTGTCCGATTCAGGAGAGCCAAACTCACCCTGCAGCCCCAGACCACAAAGGCAGCAGGCCTGCGGGCTGGCGGAGGTTAAACCAAACTGACAGGGGCCGGGGCCAGGGAGGGGGTTTTGCAGGTGGGTGGCCAGGTGTGACCTCGCCCAGCCAAGTTCAGGTCTAGTTTCCCCACCCAGCAAGCCCCGCCTCTGGCTCTGCTCAGCCCTGTGTTCTCAGCCAAGTGGAAATCCCTGGTCACTGACTTGGCGGGAGCACAGGGAGGGCAGGGAGGGGAGATTCTTTTCCCCTGCTGTCACCCTGCTGCTTGTAGCCCCAGCAGCAGAACAAACACACATGATGTCATGGTTGAAGAGTTCAGACCTGTCGTGGGGCCCAGAGGTAAAGAAGCATGCCTGATGGATGCAAGGGGCTTCTAGACAGCAACTGTCTCGTTCTGTCTCCCCTGCTGGACCTGCTGAGGTCTGTAGAGGCCAGGTACCTGCTGGCGGCCGTGTGGTCCAACCCTGCGCCAAGGGGAAGAGCCCCCAGCAGAGCTCCTGCTCTCAGCCAGGACACCCTCTGCTGCCCAATCCGCAGCCCTCGCCCTGAGCAGGCTCCGGCCCCTCCCCTCTCCCCCGGCCACCAGCCTGCCCTGCCTGGGGGGGATCTGCCTAGCCCTCACCGCCCCTCCCGTTCCGTTGAGACCTGACAGGCCAGCGCACACCTGAGCCACACCTGAGCCGAGGCCTACCTCCCCCCCCCAGAGGAGCGCTGCCTGTAGACAGAGCTAGAGTCTCAGCCTGCGCTGAGCGCACAGCACAGCGGCGCCTTGCCTGACCTCAAGGCTCAGAGACAGGCCCACGGCTTGGAGTGGGAAGCAAGGAAGGAGTTCCACCCTCTCCAGGTCTCGGGGTGTGAACCTGTGTAAAACCTCTGAACATGAGAGACTCCATCTTGGACTGAAGCATTCGTCCTGTTTTTAAAAAATGAGCTGAACTGAACTGTTGAGCCGGGCGAAGGCACACGACTGACCTCAGGACGGCTGTGTCCACATTCTTGATAAAAACCAGACACTGTGGTAGATACTTCCTAGGAACTGCTACAGGGCACGCAGAAAACTTAACATAAAACGTATCTTCTGGTGGTAATTTTTTTAAACAACTTGTGTGTTTCCTAATACTTTCAGAATTTGCTTATAAAAATCCCCGGCGTTTACTCCTCAAGGGAACAGGATTTGAGTCGCTACCACGGTCTCTGTGCCCAGAGTTGCCATTCCAAGCCGCCCACGCGAGGGCTCTCGCTCAGCTCTGCCTCTCCCCTCCATCAGCAGGAGCGTTGCTGCCCACTTTCTCTTTCCTGAAAGATCCTGAAGTCCTGTCCTTTGCCTCAGAAGTCAAAGATATTAGACCTTCTTTGCAATGGGGCAGTGGAGGACTGTAGAAATTCTCACCTTTCAGGCACTCATTTCCCAGGGCCAGCCTCCCCGTCATTGTGCTCAGACCGCCTCTTCCCCAAGCCCAGCCCTCCTGGAAGGGAAGCAAGGGTCTGGTCCACCCTGAGCCTCCCAGAAGACGTTCTGCAGAGCCCCCACCCTCCCCACCAAAAGGCTGCCATGAGGACACCTGTGTGTCCCCCCCCACCGCACCCACCATAGACTGCCAGTCTGGTCTTCCCCATCCCCAAGAAGAGAATGAGCGTTGGGCCCCTTCTGTTTCCCTTAAGGGAGATGCCGGCCGGAGCCTGGGAGCCCCCTCCCCTCCTCACCCACCCTGCTGACCCTCATGGGATGGCTTCTGCCTGCCCCTCCCCCAGGTCCAGCAGAAACAACCAGAGACATCCCCCACCCCCAGGTCTCTTTGAGCTCATTTCTTTAATAAGGAGACGCAGCTCATTACAAAATAACAATTTGACAAGAGATCAGACAAGAGCAACAGAGACCACATGGGAGGGTGTGGGGAGCGTCACCAAGCAGAGAGGGGGGGGAGGCCGGGGCTGCACACACGTCCTTCCTGGGGGACAGACAAGTTTCCTGGTGGCCCGATGCATTCCAGGGGCGCGCTGGGGCAGCTTAGGGGCTGCCCCGCCCTGGCTTGAAAGTTTCAGATTCCAGGGGTTTCGGAAAGCAGCAAGTGAAGTCCTCAGATGGAGAAGAATCAGGGCAGAACAGTCAGGCTTCTTTAAAGAGGGGTCTTCCTGGGGTCCTGGCCATGGAGGAAGGCGAGGTGGAGAAACTGCCCGCCCTGCCCCCCGCTCTGCCACCTCGCCAGACAGGACTCGCCCTCATCCCCTGCTGCACTGCTGCCTGGTGGGGGTGGGGGGGCGGAGGACCCCAGAGGGAGCTGCAAGGAGGCAGGGCCTCTTCCCCTCCTCCTCTGAGCACCTGACCCAGCCTGCTTGAACATGGTCCCCTCTGCTGTCCCCACCTCCTCGTGTCCCAGGCACAGATCCTGGGACCCCTGTGTGCCCATGAGTCCCTGTGGCCTCGTCTGCCACACCCTGCCTACGTCTCAGGTCTCTCACCACGGCCGCCCAGGAGTTGCTGGCCCTTGTTGGCTGCCGAGGTCAGTGGGGCCAGGGCTGCAGCCTACTCGGTTCAACAAGCTGACCTGGGACCTGGGGAGCCTCCACCCCTCTGCCCTCACCCCCTGTCTGGCTGGGGCTGCTCTGGGGACCTCTGGGTCTGCTGAGTCTCTCTCCTGATCCATTCGTTCCTCACAGCCAGATATGCCCACCACTCAGAGACCCCTGGCACCACCTGGAGGAGTGCCCTGCCCAGCTGCAGGTAGAGGCCTGTGGGAAGAGCCGACCCACTGCACTCTCCACTCTGCGCCCAGGAGTCCCTCCCACGCCACCGTCCTCGGACCCTGACCGCACAGCGTTGAGTGAACAGGACTGGTTCAGTCACCCCAGGTGGGGTGGGAGCCTGCCCCCAGACTGGGCTGTTAGCTGGCTGCTCCTGGAAATCCTGGGTGCCTCCACAGGGTGTCCAGGAAACGTTCCCACAACTCTGAAGCCCCCACCAATGCCCTGTCCATGCGGGGGGAGATGGGGCTGGACTGTCACCCCAGGGGGAGGAAGCCAGCTCGGGCAGCGCCCCTGGGGCCGTCTCCCGAGGCCCCACCAGAAGCCCTGCACGCCACCCAGCCTCATGGCGCAGGGCTGGGAGAGCAGGAGGTGCGACGGCAGGGGAGCCCTTCACAGGTGTTCTGTGGGGAGCCGGTCAGGGGGACGCGGGGGCTCCTGGGAGGAACCATGGGCAGTCCCCAGCAGGAGGCCCCCTTTATGGCTTTTCAGTTAATTCAAACAGCAGGAGGACGAGGACACACCACACACATACACAGGACACAGAAGCTACCGGGACACCAAGTTAGCGCACGGTGCACCACAGGTCGGCTCTGCAGGCAGATGTGCGGCGGGCAGCAGGGAGGGGCCTTTGGGGCACCAGTGGTCCTCCAGTGTCCCCCAAGGCAGGTCTGGCACCAGAGCGGGAAACTGACTCCTTCAGCCAATGGGGGGGATTCCCGATGGGGCAGGTCGGGTGGGGCTGGGGGTAAAGATTTACACACATAAATCTGAAGGAGCAGCCTCAACAAGTCGTGTAAAATGGGCTTGGGGTTGGGGGGCGGTCAGGGGACTCTCAGCATTGCCATGCAGCTATTTACAGAAAGTTAGAGACATGCATCTTGATTAAACAAGATTCAGTTCATATATGTACAGATAACTACCTTTTATATATAACTAAACAAACGCACATGGAGGAGTTGGATGAGGCTCAAATGGCTTCAGAAGGTTCTTATTTTGTAGCTTAAAAAATAAAGTATATTCATGTTTCTTCAAGTCACAGTGTCCCCTTCCCAATATTGCAGCTCGAAAAACAGGGTAAGTAAAATCCCTGGTGACCAGTCCTTGGCCCCCTGGGACCGAGTGGGGAGGAAGAAGTGGTCATAGGATAGAGTCACCAGACAGAATGCAGACGGCCAGGCCAGTTTGAATTTCAGATAAACAGCAAATCACTTTTAGGATGGCATGTCCCAAATATTGCCTAGGACACACTTATTTGAAATTATTTGTTGCTTACTAGAAATTCAAATCTACCTGGGTGTCTTGTATTATTTGCCAAATCTGGCAGCCATGTGATGGGGCTCTGGGCCCCCGAGATCAGGCCTGGGGACTCTGCCTGTCTGCCACCACCCAGGGCTCTGAGGAAGGGCCCCCGCCAGCCTGCGGTGCCAACAGGAGGGGAGGAGGGGCAGAGTGGAGGGTGGGGGGCAGCTCCTGGCTCAGTCTCTTCCTGCCTTGGGGGGAGGGACACCGGGGGAGCCTGAGTGCAAGAGTCGGGGGAGACCAAGAATGGACCTAGGACCCTAGAGGGACATGGACTCCCTCCCTGGCCCCGGGGCGGCCTCCCAACCTCTCTGCTCACCCACCACACCCCGCTGCACAGAGGCAGGTTTACGGGGGGCTGGTTTTAGCCACAGGACCGCAGCAGCCCCCTCTCCTCTCACGGAAGCCCTGGGCCAGCAAATCCTCCCAAACTGAATCTGCAGAAACGCAGCCGTGTGTGGTTTCCTGGGAAGAACGATCAGGATCTGAGACTGGGTTCTGATCCCTGCCATCCGCTCGTCCCGCCGAGGGCCCCTGGAAAGCCACTTCTCTTTCACCCCAAGCACCTGCTCACACCCTGGGGCTGCCCACATTCTTTCCCTCAGGGCCTCAGCTTCCGCTGCCCAAGTCCAAATACCTGCCTACAGCTCTGGCAATACTAGTTCCCCTTCTGGAATGATTATTCAAGCAGAAAGGAGAAAACAGCGTCTGGCCTCATCCCCATTCTTTGGATGGGAGTGGGTTTGGGTTTCATGGTCTCAATCCCTTTGTAGAAAACATCTCCTCCATACTGTTCTCTCTCTGGAATAGACTTTGGGACTGAGAACTCACAGCCCCCAAAGCCTCCCAAACCCCTCACTAGCCAGACCCTAATTCTATCCTACTTAGGGCCTACGCCCAGCACCCTAACATCCCCAGGCATAAACCTGCACGGCAGTGAGGGTCCAGAATGACACTCTGTGGTTTGGGTACCATCAATCCTCAGGTGTAGAATATTTACAGGCATTAAGTATGTTCCCTGCCGAGTTTGCGGACCCAGAACAATGCCTTCTGCTAGGATGGCTCATCTGGGCCAAGCGCCTATCCAGGGACCAGCCAGTACCTGGGGCAGAAGTGGCTCCCGCACTCGGGTCCCTCCCTGGCTCTGTGCTGCTTCCAACACTCAGCAACCTGCGCCCATCCTGCAAGGCTGCTCACTAGCCACGGGCCCAGAGAAACAGGCCCAGACGCTGCCTCCAGGCACGCTGACCCCAGACCATCAGAGGTGCCCACCTAGTCCTTTCCTTTCTGTCGGGAGAACGGCAAATCCTGAGCTCTGGAAGGACTGGCTGAAGTTCATGGCAGAGAAGAATCCCAGGTGGTAAAGGTGAACCAGGAAAGGGCAAAAGCATCTAGGTAGAGGGGACGAGGCCGACAGGAAGGCTCTAGGAATCGTGTGGGGTAGGGTGGGGAGAATGGGCGCAGGGAGAGACACCCTGAGGAAGCACCGAAACCCCACAGCTGGGGACGGGGAATGCTCGGGCCGGGATATCCGAGCTGCAGGCACGCAGACTCCGAAGGCACCCGATCGTCTGCAGCCCTGCCGTGACCACATCTCTGGTCCAAAGGCCGGAGCTCACAGTGCTCGTCAGCCCTTCCTGCTCATCGTTAGCGCGCACACGCTCACACACTCACACGCTCACACGCTCACACGCTCACACACTCACACACTCACACACTTACACGCTCACATGGGCCCCAGGAGGAACTAACCGCCCATGTACCAAGGGCCCCAGCAAGAAGGAGAAGGGCCTCTAAGCCCTGCCTCCCAGGCTGTGGCGGAGCTGTTCCCTCACCCCCTACTCCAACCGAAACACCCAGCAAAGCAAAAAAAAACCCTTCTCCTTTCTTCCAGTAAAATAAGAGACACTGCGTCTCCCTGCCGGCTCCTCTGAGCCTGACTCTGTCCCATAGTTCCGTCTGCCTCTGGTGCCTACAGGAAGCTGAGGTGGCCCAGCTGGGGCAGGACAGAAAGTGCTGACATTCTGGGGGGAAAGAGAGGGATCCCCACGCTAGAGATGGCAAGGGCCTGAGGGCTTCACGGGTGGAAGGAGAGGCTGAAGGCAGGGAGGCGAGGATAGGAGGCAGAGGCTGAAGGAGGTGGTCCTGGCCTCTGGTCACGTGGGGGCTGGCGCTCATGCCCAGGCTAAAGGTTTGGAAGGGGACTCAGTGCAAACTTGACTGACATATATATGGCTTTTTATCAATGCTGGGGACAAAAGAACAGGTAAGGGGACGAGACAGTGTGGGGTAGGAGCCCCAGCAGGCGTCATCTACCGCCCATTTGAAATGGATGCCCCACTCCTTGGCATCACGGAGAAAAGCCTCCCTAAGGGATGGAGGCCGGGACCTCCCAGCCGCCCTGGGCCGCACCAGCTCCTCACGTGCCTCTGGCGTGGTGGGCAGAGGAGTGGGGGCTGAGGGGCTGACAGGTCTCGTCTCGTCTGACAGGTCTCTGCCCACCGTCCCCCTTTCGCCTGGACCTCAGGGGAACTAGGAACATTTAAACCTTCCTTTCAAGTTCTCTGGCTCTGTACAGATAGCGCGTCTTCAGTCAGCTCTGCCCCACTCGGCCCGGGAGGGGACACAGCGAAGCTCGACGGAGAACAGCCGCACCCGCACAGCGCCGCCACATGGGGCAGTGGGCAGCGTCTGCATGTCCCTCCGGGAGGGGCCCAGACCCCGAGCTCCGTTCCCACCCTCCTGGGTTCAGCGTCTTCTGCTTCTCCGCAGTTTGATAGTAACTGCAAACAGAGTGAGGGCCCGTGGCCGACGGCGCCTGACCGATCCGGCCCGGAGCTCAGGCCCACGGTGTCCCGGAGACCACGCCGGCGGGCGGACGTCGGTGACAGCACCGGGGCGTTTGGTCCTAGTTCTGGACAAACCCAGCCTCCACCTCTTGCCTCCCAAATAGTCACACACAAGAGTCTGGGAGCTGCTGGCGTGTGCCGGGGATGCCAAGCCCTCTCCGCAGGCTGCCGGGAGGTCTGCATTTCGGGGTGCTAGGGGTGCCTTCTCTCCCCGCACAGCTCCCCTGTCTGTGGCCCATTCCAGGAATGCAGACAGATGCTCGCACATGCACACGCACACGCGTGCACCCATGGGTCGCTGTGTGGCCTTCCCGTCGGGAAGCAGGGCTGGCTTGTCATACTGCTGGTCCAGAACACGCAACAAACAGGAAATGCTGCGACTTTCTAAGGGTGAGGTGTACGTGAAGCTCTGAATGCGTGAAGGGCAGGTGACAGGGCATGCAGCGGGGACAGCTCATGGGACACTGACAAGAGCCAGGCTTCTCTCGCCTCTGAGGGGACTCTCCTCACACAGCCATTCGAGGGAGGCTGGTCTTTAAAAAGAGAAAAAGGACGGAAAAACGAGGACACAACCACAAACCAATGAGAAAGAAAAGGTTGCATAACTGAGGTATTGATAGCTCTGGATCTTGCCAGTGTCCGGGGTGGGCAGCCTGGCCGCCCTGCCTACTTGTTCTTGCCCAGAAGTGCGTCCACCTCCTCCTCGGGCTTGAGCGAGTGCCACTGGGCGATGGGCCTCCGGGGGTTGGCCAGCATGTCAGACCAGTGCCGCAGCTCTGTGCCCGTGGCGTTGCTGCCCACAAAGATCTTGCCGATGGCTTCATTCTTGCCCAGCTTGTCATAGTCCAGCACGGTGACCACCACCTGGACTTTCTGCAGGGAAGCCAAGGAGACAGGGCATTGGCAGGTGAAGATGGGGACCCCGTGACCAGACTTCTCCCCTCCATCAGCCTCTACTCCCAATGACTGGGAAGGAAGGGCCTCCCAGGCTCCTTGCTTCTATCTCTGACTCCAACTAAAACTGAACTTCCATGGAGGCAGCAGCCACGCCTTTTGGAAACCATCCTCGTCTCTACCAGTGCACGTTTACTGAGCGCGCCCTGTGCTACACTGTGTGGGGCAGATGGGAATGGAAGGAGGTGAGGAAACGTGCAGGGATGCATTTCACCTCAATCGAAAGCAGCAGACACCAACTTGAAAACTGACAACACAAAGTGGTAAAGGTTATACTAACGAGGTAAGCGCAAGGGACTATGGGAACTCAGAAGAGATGACCACCCTGCTCAGGTCAATCAGGAAGGGCTTCACAGAGGAGGTGATATACGAACATATGAACTGGGAAGTGAAGGTGAAGGTTTCTCCAGACAGACAAGAGAGGGAAGAGGATCCTGGGAAGGAAGATTAGCCTGGGTGGAAGAGGCGTAGAGACGACAGAGTGCACTTGGCGTCTGGGAAACAGCCAAGTTCAGAGTCGTTGAGGTAGAGGGTGAGAAGCAACGAGGCAGGGAGTGAGGTGGGCAGGGTGGGCCAGCTCTGAGCATGCACTTTATCCTGCAGGCAAGCGTAGGGGGCCCCTGAAGGCTGTGGAGAGGAGCAGTGTGGGTATCTTAGAAAGAGAAGCCTGGTGCTGAGGTGGAAGGCTCGCTGGAGGGATGGATGGGGTTGGCGGCAGGGCGACCGGCTGGGGGACGGCAGGGATCTGGGGGTGCCTATTGAACACCTGAAGCAAGGCTCTGCAGTGGGAACGGAAGCAGGGGGCGGACTGGAGAGGTGCTCCGGGAGAGAATGAGGAGCGCTCGGTGCCATCTGCAGCGGCGCGGATGGGGCTGGGGGGTCTTGTGCTCGTGAGATAAGCCAGGAGGAGGGAGACAAGCGCCACATGACTTCCCTCACCTGTGGGGCATGAGAACAAAGGAAGACTGAAGGAACAAAACAGCAGCGGACTCACAGAACCCAAGGGACTAGGGGTTACCAAAGGGAAAGGGGGCGGGGAGGGAGGGCGGGGAGGGAGGGAGAGGGGACTGAGGGGCATTATGATTGGCACACAGAATGTAGGGGGGTCACGGGGAAGACGGTGCAGCACAGAGAAGACAAGTAGTGACTCTATAGCGTCCTACTACGTGGATGGACAGTGACTGCCAGGCGGTGGGGGGGGGACTTGAATGTAGTGACCACAATGCTGTCCTTGTGAAATCTTCATAAGATTGTTTATCAATGATACTTTAATAATAAAAAAAGAAAAAGACTATAGGAAAAAATTTTTCTAAGGCTGAGTCACACAGAAAACTTATAAACTTACTATTTGTGCTTTTAAAGTTTGGGGTTGTATGTGGTCATTGTCAACTTTAAATTTTGTAATTAGTTGGAATTTATTTTCTCATAAGAAGTGTTCACGTGCACATATATACATATAGAGGACTCGGTGGCCAGCTGGACTGGCTACAGGGCGATCAGTGCCTTTCTCCCTCCTGACCCCAGGCTCACCCTTCGGGACCGGCTTGCTCCGGGAACCTGACCTCAGGTGCTCCCACTCCCCTGCGCTCACACACCGAAGTCCTCATGTGCCTGTGCGTCAGTGGCCAGTTTCCTGTCCCCTCTCCCGACTGTGAGTTCCTTAACAGCAAGGCTGTGTCTTCTACACGTTTGTGTCTCCTGCACCTTGCAACTGCCTGGCCCTTAGGAAATGCTTCGTTGGATGAATGAGAAAGGAAAGAAGGCAGGGGTCTGAGATGATGCCCAGCTTTCTGACTTGGGCAGCTGGCCAGACGGTGGGGCTGCTCATTGAAAACACAGAATTCAGACAAAGCAGGTTTGGCTGGGACGGGGTAGGGAGGAGACTGGGACGCTGGTCTCAGGCACGTCAAACTGGAAATGCCTCGGCCAGTCCACTCTGTGTCTGTCTAAAGGTCTCCCCAGTGAGGACTTCTCTTGGTCTAACGTGATCACCGAGCTGCCATTCGCTCCAGTGAAGGACTCTCCACCAAGGACAGCACCTTCTCTGCGGGGACCCTCGCACCCTTGACCCCCAGCCCTCCTGGGAGGGGAGGGGAGGAGGCAGCAGCTGCCTACCAGGAGGGAGAGACCAGGCTCCCAGAGAGCCCACCACCCGGCGTGCCCCTGACCCCCAGCCCAGACGGTCTTGGCCTGCCTGCTCAGATCCCACTCCTGCCCAGAAGCGTCAAAACAGACCCCACCCCCAGCCCTACGGACTCCCTGGGGTGGTTTGGGGGGTGGGGAGGGAGTTAGGTAACAAAGGGGAGGGTGAGGGACGAGAGGAGAAAGGAAGGGGGGCCAAGGGTGGTCAGGGCAGCAGAAGTGGGGAAGGGGGCCGAGGCAGAAGGCGGCTGGAGCCAGATGAGGAGGCCACCCCACACAAGCATGCACCTCAAAGCCCTAAACTTTAGGGTTGACCATAAAATTATGTTGAACAGTTCGTGTTCTTCTCCTCAGAAAAGGGAAGCTCGGGCAGAGCCCCCGGAAAGAGGCCCAGGACAGCACCCCCGGCCCGGGACGCATCTCAGCCTCTGGGAGTCTCTCTCCTCAAGCCCACCGTGCCCGCCCCGCGGCCCGGACCCCGCGCACCTGAATCTGCTCGAAGGGGATCTCGAAGCTGAAGGACTCGTTGAAGTACGGGTTGAGGGTCTTCTTCTTCACCGTGGTTTTCTTCTTCTTGAGGCGCTTGCCGTTCTGCATCAGGTGGATCTTCACGTAGGGGTCTGCGCGGGGGACAGCCCAGCCCGAGAGGCCCCTCAGCCCCCAGCCCCTGTGAGCACCCCCGGCCAAGGCCAGGCCCTCAGCAAGCCCTAGGGCAGCGGGGTGAGCGTCCAGTTCAGCGGCCAGGAGGCTCGCCTCCAGGACCATGGCTGGGCTGCTGGTCATGGCTGCCTACAGCATTGCGCTGAGGACAGTCCTGAGACTAAGGAAAGAGTGCAGGGCCGCCTGGTGATGCCTGCCATCCCCGATCCAATCCAGTCCACCTGACGTTGCCTAGGAGAAACTAAGGCCCAGGAAGGGAAACGATCTGCTCAAGGTCACACAGCAGGTGTGTGAGTGCAGGGTTGGCAGCAAGGCATGCTCATCGGAGCCCATATACAGCGCTGATTCTCGGGAAGGGACAGCAGAGGCGGCACGTTCCGCCACCCCACAGACCCTGTGCTCCCCCAGGCCCTTTCCAGGGTAAAGCCAGCAGAGCCCTCCTGCAGGGGTGTCCCAGACTGTGATGGAGAGGCACGTTTTGGGCTGAGCTTCCTACAGTTCCCTGGGAGAAGTAAAATCCTGTCACTCACGCACCTGGGGGATAAAATTTCTCTGATCTTTTCCTCCACGGCCCAAATGCTCAGGAGAGCACAGGGAGGGCAGCACGGAGAGCACAGGGCACCCATGGAGAAGGGGAGGGGCCGTGGAACCAGATGGTCTGCCCTCAGGACCCACACCTGCTGGGAGGGCCTGTGGGTCCCGGGGTGGGAGAGCGCTCCTCTAATGGTGTGCAGCACCCCTAGGGCTCTGGGCCCTGACCGGTTCGCTGGTGCCACCCAATGGCAGCCAGACGCTCTGCAGGTACCTGAAAGGCCACCCACGTCCATCTTCTTTAGGTTCTTGGCCTCCAGGATGCAAACGGTGAGCTTCCCGGCCGTGGGCACATAGCGCAGGGAGGTGCAGATGTCGCCCAGCTTCTCTGGCTACCGAGAGGGAGAAGTGAGACCCAGGGTCACCTCCACCAGCCCATTGCCTCTGGCATGGCTGACCCGCATCCTGCCACAACAAGCACAGCAGTGATGTCCTGGCTCCCCCGGTCCCCGGTCCCCCTGTCTGTGATGGCTGAGAGCGCTCTTCAGGTCTGCCCTCGGCGCCTCCTGCTACAGTTCAAAGCCGTGGAGAGGAACAGGTTGGCACCCCAGAGGCCCTGGCTTTGCGGGTGTGTGGAGCCCAGAGTGGATCTGGACTGGCCCCTACCCCAGGTGCCGGTGGGGAGGGAGGGCGTGCACCTAGGGGCTCATGTCCGCGGGCACCGAGCATCAGAAGCCTCCTACCACTGAGACCCTGTCAGCCTTGCCACTAGCAGAGTGATTTGTGGCTTTCAAAGCCCATTGCATCTATGTTATTGTCATTGCGTCTATGTTATTGTCATTACAAGTCTTTCATCTCTCCAGAGCAAGGACCATTTGTGAACAATGAGAGGGACTAAGGCTCAGAAAGGGGGATGATTTTCTCAAAGTCCCACAATTCAGCACTGGTGGCAGGATGAGGACCCTCAGCTCCCAGTTCCTAAGGCCTCAGCCAACACCACCCTGCAGAGCCACGCTTCTCTGAGTCAGGCCCCTTGGGCCAGTGCTGACCCCCTGGCCCTGTCCTGGCTCAGATGGGCTGGCCTCTCCTCCCACACAACGTGAGCCCAGGGCAGGAAGGCTGTCCTAAGCATCTCTCCCCTGCCCTCCACCACCACCTGGTACTGTGCTGAGCACATGGTAGGGGCTTGGCCGAGACAAATGACGGGTGCTTGGAAGGGGAAGTGGCTGAAATGAAATGTCTGGTACACAGTAGGTGCTCAATAACCCTTTGGTGAGTGAATGGATGCTGGGGGGCAAGCACCCAAGCTGAGAATCCTTTAGAACAAACGTGGGTTTCCCTTGTGGGTAAACCAAGGCACAGTCATGACTTACTGGGCCAAAGTGACAGCATATTAATAGTGTTTCCTTTACTTGAGCACCTACCAGATGCCAGGTGTTCTACATAGACAGTCAGTCCTCATCCGCGCACAGACACTAAGAAGAGAACCAGGTCTAAAGAGATTAAGCGACATGCCCGGGGCTCACCGCTGGGCGGCGTGGCACTCAGAGCCCAGCTTGGGCGTCTCTGAAGCCGGCCTCTCCCTGTCGTGCCAGGAGACGGCAGCCCAGGCAAGCAGCCACACCCGCCCCCTCCGGCCTGGCCGGCTGTGCCCTCACCTCCTCCTTTTCCCCGCCTTGCAGGTCTCTCCACTCCTCGAGGGGCTGGCCAAGGTCCACGGTGTTCATGGGCACCTTCACCTCCCCGATGATGTCGTGCTTGGAGAAGCGGTCGAAGTCGTAGATGGCCATTACCAGGGTTTTGCCCCCCAGCTCCTGGTACGGCACCTGCAGGGCACAAGCGGGATCAGAGAGGAGCCAGGAGAGCCCGCACATGTCCAGGGGCTGCTGCAGGCAGGTCCCTGGATGCAGGCTCTGGTCCTCTGGCCCACAGGACCCTTGGTGAGTCTGTGGAGACAGAGAGAAGACCTGGGGCTCTGGGGGAGCAGAGTGCATGTGGTGGGAATGGGGGGTCCCAGTCCTGCAGAAGGCAGAGCAGTGACCTTGCATGTCGGTCCACAGCCCAGCCTACCGTTGCTCCAGACGGAGCTGGTTCCAGGACCTTAGCCACAGCTGAAGGACCCAGGAAAGGTCTGCTGAATTCAGGTGGAAATGGGATGGGAGAGGGAGCTGGCGTCCTTCCAGCCTCATCACCTTGAAGGTGAAGGTCTCATTGAAGGCAGGGTTCAGTGTCTTCCGGTGGACTTTGGTCTCATATTTCTTCTTCTTGTCTGGAAGAAGGAAGACTTTGACATAAGGGTCCGAGGTGCCTCCCATGTCCAGGGCCGGCAGTTCAGCTGCCTGAAGAACACCGACCGTCAGCTGTGGGGAGAGTAAGGCAGGCGCTGAGTCCCGGGACTGCTCCAACAGGTCCACCCAGGTGCAGCACCTGCCCCGGGCCTGTGGATGCCCGCCCCGAGGCAGGGGCTGGAGTCAGAGAGGAATCCTTCTCCATCTCCATCCCCAGGAGTTTGGAATGACAGGGGGAAGTGAAAGTTGAGAGGGCTTTTGGTGTGCCCAAGACTGGTGGCAGGGCCCACCTGGACCCAGGAGCCCTCCCCAGAGCAGGCTGGTGGCCAAGGCCCAGTGGAGGTCCAGGGGCCCGTGGTGTCCTGCCGTTTCCGGCCTGTCTGCTCCCCAGAAAGGAACAATGCCCACAACCTCGGGGGAGCTGTTTCTAGCTCCCCCCACCCCACCCCCAGCCCTCGGCCCTGTTCCCCGCTTCACCCTCCCACCCCAGCCCTGTACCTGGTTGGCCTGGAAATCATAGTCTAGGGAAAACTGCAGTTTGCCCAGGTTCTCCGGCTCTTTCTCCTCCTCTCCTTCACCTTCTCCCTCTGTCAGGCCTGTCTCTGCATCGTCGTCATCCTACGGGGGCTGCAGGAGGGGGCATGAGTTAAAAGGAGAGGACACAGCAGCCTGGCTTGGTGCAGGGACAACAGGAAGCCGGCCCCTCTGTGCAGACCCTGCCTCAGAGCTGAGTGTGGGGCGACAGGAGGGAATGCGGCGCTGTCCGGGGGACTTGCTTTCCCACAGCCCCTCGGAGCCCCCAGGCAGCCCCTCGGAGCCCCAGGCTCTGGTCTTGTGTGCCTCTCTCCCTGCAAGGCACAGTGCCGTGAGGCTGGGAACTGCGCCAACTCTCTGCAGCTTCTTGAGGTAGCTGGGGTAGGGGTGCTTCCCTTGGTAGCCCCCTTCCCAATATCTCCCTCAGCTTAGCCCAGGCCTGCCACCGACCACTAGACATACCAGGAGTGCAGTCCATTTAGAGGCAGGGGGAGTCCACAGAGGCGGGAACGGAAGGAAAAAAGTGATGTAAGAGAAAATCCTGAGCTCAGACCCTGAAGTCACAACCACTTGGTGAGACCAGGTTGGGCTACACCCAGGTCACTCTTGAGCATCCCCCGCCCCACACACTGCCGGCTCCCTTGGGGCCCACATACACATGAACGCACATACATGCATGTGCTCACATGCACACACAAGCACTCAGAGGCCATTCTGATCCCCGGCTGACTTCTTGAGATCAGGCCCTTCCTTCCATCCTCTGTATTGATTCCTTGAGCAGAAGATTTCTCCCAGTCACCCCCAGAGCAACCCGGGGGGGAAGTGAGGCACCTACGGACCTCTGTAAACTCAAAAAGAGAGACTTGGGTATATCAAGGGACCTTTCCAGACTGACCAACCCCAAAAGAGAGGGATAAATAAACCAAATCATTATGTGACATGAAATGGACCCCACATGTCCCTGTCTTGGTGCCTTAGGACCATTATTCCATCTCAGCGCCCACCCCACCGCCAGCTAGACGCCTCCAGGGAGATATTGTCCTTTAGTTCCCTGGCAGGGCCAGTCCAGTGACGTCTTCCTGCTGGGCGGGGGTCTCTCATCCCAACATGGTCCCAGTTGCCTCTTTTGGGGTCAGTGCGCTGTTCTCCTCTGTCTTTTCAAGGATGAACCCGTGCTGACACAAGAACCAGTGCCCCCTTCCCGCTAGCTGACGGGTGGGCAACATTATACTAGAGGTATGGCCAACGGGAGGGCCGTGCAGATTTTTAAGGAGGGAGCCAGTTCAGCTGCAGCACCCAGAAGCCTTTGCTTCACCGGCAGCTCAGGAAGGCCCAGGCGGGCCCCTCCCCGGCGCCAGCCCCTCGCCCACCTGGCCGCCTTTCATGTCTTTCATGTTCATGGTGTTCTTCATGCCTTTGCCTTTCTCCTTCTTGTTCTTCTTCTTCTTGCAGAAGCACTTCTTGCAGATGCAGAGGCAGCAGGTGAGGAGCAGGAGGCCGGCGACCACAGCAATGGCGATCAGCGCCCAGGAGGGTACTGCCCACAGAGAGAAGGCCCTGGGAGTCAGCGGTGCTCCGTCATGCAGCCCCCAGCCCCTGACATGGGCCCAAATGGGTGGAGACTGTGAACCTCCAATGCCCACACTGCATTTTTAAACCGCAGGGCCCTGAGTGATTTGCGTGCATGTTGCATGCTTTGCACACCTTTGCGTCGACACTTTGCTCTTCCCTCAGCCCACTGCTCTGTGGGTCAAGCCGTAACTGAGGGCTAGGAAGCGGGTGTACACAAGGAGGAACGGCAGTTTGACTCTACTGAGTTTTGACATAGTTTCATCTGTGAAGAACCAGCCCATACTGGAGAGGGTAGGATGGTCCTTAGCAGACCCAGGTGTAGGAAGCCCCCTAGTCTTGAGAGGGCTGACTCAGAGTCAAAAGGCCAAGCTCCTTAAGGACCTAGAAGGCTGGCCTTTGTATAAGTCAACCATTTGGGCAAGGTGGGGCCTGGGCGCTCTCCGTGGTTCTGAAGTGCCGCTTTCCCCGCCCCCGCCCCCCAGCGTGGCTGCTCCCTGTAATCTGTACCTCTGGCGTCTCCTATACAGCCTTTTCCAGGAATTCAGAAATGGGGGCTTTTAGTTTCTATCTTCCAAAATAAAGTAGTTACAAAACATGGCTGGAAAACTTGAATAATGATTTTTGTTCCCTTCATTAGTGCAGGACCACACTCCCTCACCACTCCAGAAGGGGCTGCCAAATAATCCAGGCTGGAATCTGGGCATTAAGAAAGAACCCAGCCAGGTACATGGCAGAGGTGTCTCCCACCTCCCTCAGGTGCCCTGCCCGAGGGCCCTTCCTGCCTGCAGCCTTGCCCCTCCCTCCAGCCACCGGGACACTCACGGGGGAGACTGTTGAGCTCATTGAAGAACTTGTCCTTCATACTGGTGAACATGTCCCTGCCGCTCTGACCAGCACCCCCACTCTCGGTGGAGTTGTCTGCAAGCCCAGCTGCCATCGTGGCGGTGGTGGCCGCAGGAGCCACAATGGGCTCCTGGTTCCTCTTGAAGATGTTCCTCATGGTGGCAGAAAGGATGGCTGAGGATGAGAAGGGCAGGGTGCAGGATGAACACCCCCGAGGCCCAAGTGCAGAAAGCTCTGCCCGGATGACGGGAGAAGCTCTTTAAAAAGTTAAACATTATTAATAATAATCTCTTTATAATTCAAAGATATTTACCATAATATCAACAACACTAATAGCCATCATTAAGTTAGTACATATATGCATCAGGCATTGTGCTAGGGACTTTCCATGTATGATCTCATTCAATCCAAAGAATAGCCTCATGTTTGATTATTATTATTCCCATTTAACAGGTGCAGAAACAGGTTCAGAGAAGCTAGGCAGTTTTCCTAAGGTCACTTAGCTAGTAAATTCTGAAACTGATGTTTGAACCATCTGGCTTAACTCCAAAGCCTATAAACCCAATCCCTTCATGTTCTCATTTAAATCCAACCACAGGACCCTAGGGTGGCGGCGAGGCTTTACTTAACTGCGGCGGACCCCCTGAGCCTCTCTCCTCTTGACCTACGACATTCTTTGCCTGGATTCGGCGCCCGTCCCCAGACACCCCTGCTCCCGTCATCGCCCCTCCAGCCCTCCCAGATGCACCATTCAGGGCTTGTTTCAGTCTTTCCTCTAGGAAGATGGTGCCTAAATCTCAATCTGCAGCCCTTTCCCCTGCTGGGCTCCAGGGAGGCCCGCAGCCCCTGGCGCTGGGCTCTGTGTGGCTGCACATTCGCGTTCCTACGTGCTGTGGTGGGCGGGAGGCAGCACGGGCTGGAGGAGAGGTTGACTGTGAACCCCAGGAATGTCCAGCACTTGCCAGAAGACTTGAAACAAACCTCTTCTGAAACTCAATTTCCTCATACAAAAATTGCAGAAAATAATACCTACTTTTCAAAACTGCCTTAAAACTTAAAGAATAAATTTGATTATGTCTGGCACATAGATGACATTCAGCAACTATGGGTTGGGTCTGAATCTGAGAAGTGTTTACTGAGCCCCTGATAGGGTGCCTGGAAGTGGCCTGGGCACCACAGGGGGACCCAAGAGTCACAATGGATGTACACCCCCACCTCAAAGACCTGACAATCCAAGAGCCATGGGATAAGTGAGATAAATCATGGGGAAAAAGGACGAAATCCCTACAGTGGACATCTGAAACTAACACAATATTATTCGTCAATTATACTTTAATATTTTAAACAAAAATAAAAAATAAATCATGGGATAAAATAAACCAACCAAGAATGAAAGAGCTTCACATCCCAGAGGTTCAGGGGCCCTTCAGACCAAGGAATAAAATGGGAAGGCTGCTTCTTAGGACGTCTGCGAGTCCAAGAAAAAGGGACTGGACTTATTTCTGAACCCAGCACAAACCACTGAAAGTTTCTGGGCAGAGGAGTGGCCTCAGTGTTCCAGGTGGGGCTTTGGGGGGCTGGTTCCACAGGGAGCGGAGGAGGTGAGGCTGGGCAGCGCTGGCAGGGGCCAATCCACCCAACCAGCTAGGGAGCGAGGGACCCGGACCAGGGAAGGAATGTAGGGAGGGGTGGAGAGGACAGACGTGAGAGAGACTCCGTCCTCCCTCCCTCCCTTCAACAAACATGCACCCAACTCACAGCGTGCTTCCCTGGCAGAACCTGCCATAAAGTGGATATTAGGTAATTGCATGTAACTGAATGTAAAATTGGAATTGTGAGAAATGCCACAAAGGAGAGATACTTCGTGGTATGAGTTTATATTGGGGCATATTTGCCCTAACCTGGGAGAGCAAAAGGCTTTCCTGAGGAACTGGTGACTGAACTGAGGTCTGAAGGGTGAGTAAGAAGTACTCAGGCAGAGAGGAGAGGAGAAAACAGCTTCAGCAGACGGAACAGCATGTGCAAAGGCCCAGTGGCGGGAAGCAGCGCGGTGAGTACAGAGCCTGGAAGAAGCCCAGAGTGGAGGGCGTTGGGGGAACATGGATCAAGGGGAAGCTGGCAGAAAGGGCCAGGCTGGACTGCACACGTAATTCTACAGGTCACTGCAAGGAGTTTTGTCTTTACCCAAAGAGTAATAGGAGGCTGTTGGAAGATTTTAAGCATGCAGGTAATGTGTACGAATTCACATTTTGAAAATTTCGATTCTGCTATAGTGAGTAAAAAAGGGTAGAATGGAGCATGATCTCAGAGGGAAGTGGGAAAGGAGTTGAAAACAGCCTGTGATGAGTGTCCTGTCGACCCAGCTTCTTATATCATGTAAGACAGCGTTCCTGGAGGATTAGCAGGGGCATGACATGCGGCTGCTGGGGGTGACAGGTACGGGCACGGGGCTGCAGTAAAGCAGAGGCCTCGGATCGGTGGTTCCCAGGGCCCAGGGCCTGGAGCGCCCTTTTAAATGTATCATCAGGAAAACACGAGGACGAAGCTGCCCAGACGGCAAAGGGATAATGGAGGTGCCTTAGAAGGTGGCTCATGATGAAGGGCGGGTGCGGGGCCGTGGGGCTGATCCAGAGATGGCCCCACCTGCCCAGTTACACAGCCAGTAAGTGGCACCGGAGGCTAGAACCGAAAGGGTCATCCTCAGCCCCTGTCCCGCCCTCACCCCCACATCCAGGGCATCTGCAGACTCCTCACCTGTACCCACCGACTCAGCCACCCCCCACCTCCACCTGGAGCCCCACAGGAGCCACCTATCCGGAAGCTTCCACCCTCCTCCGTTCAGGCTAATCTCTGCAATGCAGCCAGACCGATTTATTTAAATTTCTCCAATGGCTTCTCACACATAGAATAAAATCCCTGCTTGGCCTGGCCCCCCACTAGCTCCCCAGATGCATTCCTGTCGCTTCTGCTCCCAGCCGCTCCGTTCCCGGCTTGGTCGGCTCACCAACTCACCAAACAGAGTCCGACCTCACCTCTGCACCCACTTTCCCTCAGCCTGGAAAGCTCTGCCTGCAGAAATCTTGGCCGCCCGGGGGCACCACCGGCCCTTCTCGGCTTCATGTCCCACCGAGGCTCGCCATCCCGGTAACTTTTCCCTGGATTCCTTACATCCCCTTGCGCCTGGGTCTTTTCATGACACTCACCGGCCGAAAACCACCCCTGGAGGAGCCCCACCCCTGATACGGCCTGAGTGTGTGTCCCCCCAAATTCATATATTGAGGTCTAGTGCTCCGTATGGTGGTGTTTGGCCTGGGGGGCTTTGGGGGGCAACGGAGTCTTGAGAGGGGAGCCCTCCTGATGGGTTAGTGCTCCATAAGAAGGCCTGAGCAGGGGAGGACCCGAGGAGCAGCGCCACCTGCAGGCGGGAAGAGGGTCCCCGAGAACCTGACCGCCCTGGCACCTGATCGCAGCCTTCAGAACCGTGAGGGGCACGCTTCTGTCACTGACAAGCTGCCGGTTTATGGGGTTTTGTCAGAGCAGCCCGAGCTGACTAGGACACCCACTACCAGCTTTGTCCTCTCCAGGGTCACTCCGAGACCACTGCGCACGGCTGGGCACCCGGAAGGGCAGCTGGAAACCCGATAGAGCCGCCGTCATCCAGCCCCCCAACACTGCACAGGACCCCTCACATACGCCCCCCGCACCTCACCCTGCTCCCTTCCCAGTGGACGCCCTGAACCTTCCATTTCCCCAGACCCCTGGCTTCCCCACACCTGCCCCACCCGCTAGCCTATTACTAGAAGCCACAGGAGAGAAATCTCTCAAAGGCGCCCCTGCCAGGCCAAACCACAGACCTGCGTGCACAGGACCCAGTCTCTCCTCCTGCCCTCTGCCTGGCCCAGAGCCTTCCTCCTGCTGAGGCCAGTCCCCCTGCCTGGAGGGACCCCCCGACCTCGTCAGGAAGCCTCTTCGGCCCCTGGGCTCTTTCTCATGCCCACCTTTCCCCTTTGCTCTGCTGAACGGTTCCCATTTTCAAACACCGTGAGCCAAGCCATGAAGACCCCCCGCCCCTCTCCCCCGCCCCCTCAGTCCCCCCTCCCTGGGGCCGCACCCCCCACCCAGCCTCTGTGCCCTCCCTCCTCCCTCCACTGCGGAGTCAGCCCCTTCACCCCACTGAGATGGCTCCTTGTAAGGTCCGGGGTGTCCACGAGGTCACTGAACCCACTGGGCCTCTCACAGCGGTGGCCCTTCACCTCCCTCAGCCGTCTTCACCCTGACTGCTCCCTCCTCCCCTTGAAGGTCACGCCTGGACAGTCATCACAATTCTGATGAAGGCTGCAGTGGCCTCAAGGTTTGCGCTTGAGCCTCCCCTCAAGGAGCCCCGCCCAGGGGTCTCTTCCACAGCCTGGTCTCAGCAGGACCTCCCCTCTGATGACTGTCACAGCCCCTGGCCCCTGAGTCCCAGCACAGAGGCCCAGGGGCCCCTGGCGTATCCGCCCGCCCCTGCATTCACCCTCGCTGGCTGCCAGGCAGTTCTGCACACGCACCTAAGCAACCTTCTAAACTGCAAACCTGATGGTGCCACTGCTGTTAAAGGTCATGCAGGGGTTCAGGCTGCAGCCGCAGCCGTGGCCCGCCAGGCCCCTGTGCTCTGTGCCCAGCACCACTTCATCTTTCCCTCCCCTGAGTCTCTCACACAACCCTTGCTTTCTTTTCTCCCGTCTAACAGAGAATGGTCTGCCCTCCCCGACACACGCACACACACGCACGTGAGGGTGTGCTCTGCCCCCGTCACAGCTTCACTGAGTCGGTGCCTGCATAGCTTTCTTGGCTAGACTCAAACACCACCTCAAGGAAGGCTTCCTGGACCCACCGCATCTCCCACCCCAGGTCCCAGGTCAAGAACCCGGCCGATGCTCTCGCCATGCTCTGTCCTCAACCCCACAGCACTAACAGCTTGTGACTAAGCAGACGCCCCACACTCAACCGCCTGCATACTCTCCTGGGCTGCCTTTGTGCTGCAACAGCTGAGTGAATAGCTGCGACAGAGACTGGACGGCCTGCAAAGCCTGAAATATTTACCACCTGGTCCCATAGAGGAAAACTTCACCCACCCTGCCCTCGCACAAATCATACTACTGGCATATGACAGGCATTCAATAGACACACAGTAC